AAGCAAAACATTGCCGGGTTCTCAGCTGCCCCGCGGAGACGGGAACGTAAGTTTGGGTAGCTGGTGAGCGGCTTTCCAAGGAGTTCGGCTTTGCCCATCATTACAGGCAGAAGCATGAGGATGTTTGGGGCTGAAAGCTTTACAGCCTCGGACGCGACTCCCGCCTAGGCAGAAGGTTAAACTTGTATTTAAACTGCGTTTCTTTCATCTTGCCTCATTATTATAGGATCCTGGAAAAACAGCCAACTATTTTACATTGGAAAAGGCTAAAAAGGAAAAGCAAAAGCCAGTGAAGGCTTCCAGAATTAAAGGAGCTAATTTTCTTATTTTCCTTTGGGAAAATAAGACCGCTGTATTCAGAGCGCTCCTCTGGCTTTAGCTGTGATCTGCTGACTCGATGGCTCATCACACCGACAAGGAAGATCCCCTTCTCTCCAGTTTTAAGCACAAAAAGTTTTAACGTGGGAAAGAGTCGAAAAGCGGAGTTTGCGCATTGCTTTAAAGCTAAAACACTGCACGCCCGGGTCACAAGTGTTGTACCCTTTTTCTCTCTCTTCTTCTCCCCCCCCTCCTCCATCTCCTTTTGTTTTTCCGAGATTTAAAGATCAGCCAGCTCTGTTTGCTATCTAGCCTTTTTTTCGGGAAAAAAGGGTTGACGGGGAAGCAGGAAAAAGGAGCGCTTGGCCTGCATCCCCGTTAAAACCCAGGAGTGGACAGCCAGCTTTCCTCTGGCATCGCCTTTCAAAGCCCATGCCGCAGTCAGCATATTGAATATTTAATGTCCTGATGAGCATTTCCACCTGCTGACACAGGCAAAGTGACAGAACAATACACGCGCTGGAACAAGATCATCAATTGACTCCCCAGCCGGTCTGCCAGGTCAGGCAGTTAAAAAGAAAAAAAATATATAAAATAATCTGTCTGTCTTTCTTCCCTGCTTTGCCCGGGGTCACACATTGCTCCTCTGAGAAGGGTTCCCACCTGAAATACATACTTCTTTACATTCCATAGCTTGCCAGGTTCATATGGGCATATAAAGAAGTATGTCTCTCAAGCAGGTAGTTTCAATATGCGCATTTATATGGTCACAGGAGGAAAAATAACGCTGATTTACAATTTACATCCCGAGAGTGAGTTACGGCTCAGTTTAAACCAGCAGACTTTCCTCCTGCCCAGCCCATGTGCAGAGACACACACACACCCCCCAGCTCCTGCTCCTCGCCGGTAATCCCGGGCTTTGCCCTTGGCAGGTGATGGATTTTGGTCCCTGGGAAGAGGAACTGGATAATTCACCGGACACAAAGCGGCAGCGGTCTGGTGGCTGCCCTGGCAGGGGCTCTTTGTCACGTAAACGGCACAGAGTAAAAGCCAGCCTCCCACTCCACCTAAAAAGTAGGTGTTTCATTCAAAATCGTAAACTTTCAGCAATTAAAAAGACCAAAATGTGGTTTAGGGGAAGGGATTTGCTTTATATGCATATAGATATAATTTTAGACAAAGCCATGTGGAGGAAAGTTAAATACATATTATTTCCCAACTGCCTCCATCCTGCAATTTGGAAACAAAAAGCCAGTTTGTTTTCAGAAACCCAAATATCAAATGGCCAGCTACTGATTGACAAACCGACACCGGGAAGAACTGCTCCATTTGCCAGAGTAAGAAAACTCATCAGCTCCAGACAAGCAATTGCTTTCATCCGTAAGTAGAGATTAAAGCATAGGAAGAAGAAAGCGTCTTACCTAGTGAATCCAATGATTTTTCCTCTGCTGGTCACTGTGAGTGAGACACTACCTCGCAGATAAGCAAACCCCAAAAGATAGCACACGCCTTTTGGGGAGTTCAGGGTATTTAAAAAAAAAAAAAAATTAAAAATTGCTTCTAATAAGTCATCCGGTTGAGCTCCACGCCAGCTAAGGGTTTTTGGGGAGACACCTGCAGATATGCAACACAAAAGGCAGCCAAAGCCAGGTGCCGGGAGCTCAGGCCAAAGTCTTTTTGAGTTATTCCCGCAACCCCCGCGGGATGCGCGCCCGTGCATGCCGCCGCGCGCTTGTGCACCCATGGGGCTCAGCCCCGCGTGCAGCCGCTGGCTCTCCCCCTCTCCCTCGCCTCCCCGCAGCCGCGCTGAGCTTTAAAGCTCCCCGAACAATGTGGGCCGAGTGGCAGGGCTGCAAACACCGCCCGGGCTGAATAGGAGACTATTATGGGCAGGATTTAGGCAGGGAGCGACGGCGGAGGTCACGCCGGGCGCTGCCTGCTTGCTGCCTGCTCGCTCAGCAGGGCGGGCAGGGCACGCTCACCTGCGCTTGCTGCCCCTCGCCCCGCTGCTGCCGATCGATACCAATTTACAGGCAAATGCAGAATGGCTGCCTTCGTGTTAATGAATTTTACCATTTCTCACAGTCTTCTAATGAACCCTTTAAAGAGGGTTTAAGTAAACTTAGCAAGTGGCAAACTAAGCACTTTGGAATACCTAATTGCATCGATGCTTTTCCACATCTTTTTAAAATAACACTGCCAGCTGGGGAGTAAATATTTCCCTGCTCCTCATCGACTTCTAGCACCACCAAAAAGCAAAGGCCGCATGGAGCCAGGGTGTAAATCCGCTGTGCTCAGGCCCCCAGCCCCCAAAATGGCTTTACACCCCTCATGCGACACCAACAAATGCCTCGGTCCTGGCTCTGTGCAGCTCCCCTCCTTGCTCCCCTAGGTTTGTTGGCCCTTTTAACGTTCATTATTTGTCTCATTTCAAGGCAAATTTCAACCTTTAGTTTGGATTAAGGGGAAGAGAGATGGAGCTGTGGCACCATTGTAATGCATGACTGCAGTGAAATTAAAGCAAAGGGAGAGCTGAGGAGTGCGAGGGAAAGTCTGAGTGCTTAAGATTCAAAAAAAAACCCAACAAAAATCAAAGTGCTGGCGGGGGGTTTTGCACAGCCAAGGCACTCCATGGTATTGAATTTCCTTCAGACCGACAACAGTAGGACAGCTACTGGACTTCTTGGGCCATTAAACATCTGCAACTCATACCCAATTTGCTTTCTTCAAATGCATTTGACATAGGCTGTCCTGAACGGTCCCCAACTTCTGCAGATAAGTGGGACAGTGGCTGCCAGCCACTAAAGAGAGCACTATGTGAGAGCTAAAAACCCGACATTTTAAATCCTTACTAAAACTGAAGACAATGGCACAACCACGGCAGCAAAGTTCATCCTGGAGATTTAAATTTGCTTTGAGGCTCTGTGTGGAAGCCCACGCTTTGCAGGGTTGTGCCTTTTGGTGGAGGAGCAGATAAACGGTGTGATGGTGCTTTTAATGGTGACGCCAGAGGCACTTTGTGGTTCCCATCCTGCAGCTACCACCAGGAGTAAGTGGTGATGGGCGAGTGTCACCCAACGTCCTCGACCCACCTAGGCTCCCTGAGCTCCTGGGCTTGCTCTTAGCAGGAAAACGTGCGCAATAAAATTGTGGCTGTTCTGGGGAGAAAAATGGATGGAAAGCTGGATAGTGCAGAGGCCAAGGGGCAAATAAAAGGGAAGGGAAGAGCCTGAGATATTGCCTGGAGGCGGAGAGAGGAGGAGGATGGTGGGAGGGATGGAAAGCAACGTGCCGTGTACTATATCCCTCCTCTGCCCCAGGCTCACGGTGCTGCTCAGGTCCAGGTGGCAAAGTCGAGCTGGAGCTGTGCTGCACAAAACTTTGGGGACTTGACTGGAGACAGCCTGTATTTAGGGCTGGGCGCCGGAGAAGGGAGAGGCAAGCGGGGCCGAGGCAGAGGCAGGGCTCGCCCCAGCACAGCCCACAGCAGAGGGGCTGGGCTGGGCACCGGGCTCAGTCCTTGGGTGACATAGACACAACCATCCGCCCGAGAGAAACCCAGCAATTAAACTGACAGCACAAATCACAGATTTCTGCCTATACAATTACACATGATTGCTGAGTGCACACTCTCTCCGGCACAGACATATACATATATCCATACTCTAAACACAGCCTGGAAATGCATTGTATTTGGACGATATGTTACACCTGCTTATATATAGCATTTATATACCTATGCATAAAGATGTGTAAAATATACATATGCATGCTATAAAACATACCTAAATTTGTGTGCGTGTGTATGTAGCGCAGTATCCACCTCACAATACTGATGTCTATATATTTATGTGACTAGGTATCACCACTATCATATAAAATATAATGACCATAGTCAACTCTGAGCTGCAGAAGCAATAACAGTCAATTCATGTTTGAAGTGTAACCTGAATTCCAAACCCTTGCAGGGAAAACCTAACTTCTCCTCCTCCTGTTTCCTTCCTGCTCATCCACAGACCATGCGCCTGTAATTAATGCTCATTTCTCGGCATTTTAACAGTTAATCACCGCAGCATTGAGATCATTGCAAGTTAGGCTAAGTTTAACCACATTTCACCCTTTTGCTCTGGCTGGCATTAGCTCATAGCACTAGTTTGTTGCAAATAAATAAATAAAGACCCAATCCCCCCAGGTGTCATTAGCCAGCCTGTGTCTGAATTAGGCATTTAAAGGCCGGTTTAACCTTGCAGATCGGTTGCATGTCAAAGTTCTAACATTTCAGTTCAGATTATTCTAGTGCACTGCTTGCTCTGCAGTTTGTTAGGGTTTTTTTTTTTTTTTAAATGCGGAGTATGCCACAGCAGAACAAAAAAAAAAAAAGGGGGGGGGGGAGGTCTCCTACCCCATCCACAGATTAAACACATAACCAGCACATCCCCGCACAGACACGCACACACGACACACACGCACATACATTTGCCGGATGCAAAAGCCCACATTTAAGTCCCCGGGTAAGTTGGATGGGCACTCAGTCCTGCATTGGCCAGAAAAAGTGTTTAAAAACAAGCTGAGCTGGTAGCGGTTAAAGGCAAGGCAGGGAGCAGAAGAGGGGAAGGGGGGGGAAAAAAAAAAAAAAAAAAAAAAAAAATCTTTAGGAGCTTCTGTTGCAGCAGAGGACTCACCAGAGCACTAGCTGAAAGCTGAATCAGCTTTCGAGAGTTAGGGATGCATAGAGGAGGGTCATGGAATCACAAGGTAATAATGCGCTTCATGCTGCAGCCGTCAGCCTTCTCCTTATAGCCAATCTCTAATGCAGGAAGGGAAAAAGAGAGCAGGCCCAGGAACGGTATTAGTCCTCACTTGGAGGAAAAAAAAAAAAAAAATTCAAAAAAAAAAACCCCCATCAGGCAAACCCTCCCCTCCCCATCCACCCTTACCTCACCCCCTCCACCCGGCACCACTACAACTCCATC